ATAAAACATGATACAAGAAACTCATCCAACTTCTCATAAATGGATGTTTTAATCTCCCTTATTTAGACTATTGAATTAGTTGGAATAACTTTTTTTCTTAATGTGTCTTTGTGAGAAGTGGCAAAATAAGTTAACCCACCTAGCCATTAGCCACAGAAAAATAGGAAGAGACATGCTGACCCATTATATTAAAATAGACTACAAATCTTAATTTGTCCCGTTAATGGACGAGTTGGTAGGTTGGCAAGCCGATCCTTCAAATTTTTTTAAAACTTTTTTATTTCAATATATATATTAAAAATATATTTAATCATATAAATATTTTTCAAGCTTTTAATTGATTATATTACATATGCATGTTGTATTAAATAATTGAAATTTAATTTGTAAGTGTCCATTGGTATTGCATATTTGCATCCTTAAAATATGATATAGAAAATTTATTCTTTTAAATTATTTTTATTTCAATTTTTAATTTTAAAAAATTAAACTAATAGGCAAGTCCGTCTCAACCCACCTTTGGCATGCTAGTTTGGTGTGCTAAGCCACTATGACCCACTTTGCCAACTGTAACTTTTATGCTTAATATAACAACTATAACTTGACTATGATACAATCGTATGCATAAATCTTCCCTGAATCCAATACATCACATTATATAGATTAATTCATCATATATTTCAATCCCTACACATCAATCTTATAACTTCAAATATCTATACAAAATCAATTACATAACACATCTTACACTTTAAAACATGTATTTAAGGGATATGTCATTAGAGTGTGACAATATTCTTAAGTTATAGTTTTTTAATAAACAAGTGAAGACCCCTTGTAACATCTCATATTTATGAAATAATACTTTTTTAATTTTTAAAAGATTTATTATGATTATTATAATTTGGATGTTTTATTGTACACATTTTGAATTTGAGCCAATAAAATAAGATATCAAAGACTTCATCTGAAATATTGCATCTAATATGTTGTATAAACAAACTGAATGATTAGTCTGAAATATTTCATTAACACACCTTGAAGGATGGACGAACTTGAGTCATTATCTCACATAGTTAATCTAACAAAATTCTGAGACAAAACAAACTTAGAGTTTCATCTAAAACATTTGGAGAACTTTGTAGTTAAAGGAATTGGGTTTAGAGAAAAACACTTCATGAAAGATTCCTAATGTGGACAAACAAACTACATTGATGAAATGAAGCTTTCATGGGACACACACTGAAATAATCTTTTGAACAATGTAGATTTAATTCAACTAAGTATTTAAAGAAAAATTACACCAAAGTTTAGACCAATTAAATGGATATAATATTGTCTAGGGTCTTAACAAATCATTTGACAAAACTACATAGCATAAAACCACAAGTCTTTTTATAAGTGTTTATTTTGTTTATAATTCACATACATTTTGACAATTATCTTGATTGATTATCTTGCATAAACTTGATATTTTACCCTTTTTCACCTAAAAATTACTAAAAGCATTAGATATAAACATGCGTGGTGATTTAATGCAAATTTTGTGTGAATTGCTACAATTTAGAAGAAAAACCCTAGTCATTTCTTAGATCATCGTGTCAGATCCCTCATCATCATCATACCATCCCCGGCTGGCCAAAGTCATTGTCGACGACACCAGGACTGCCTTAGTATCGTCAATAAAAACCAATGTCGAGAACCACCTCTCTTCTCGTTTCTCCCAACTCGTGAAACATCGCTTATTTGTAGGTAATTACACACGGAAAATCTATAGGTTACCTACAAATAAATTTGTAGGTAATATTACTTACAACCATTTTACTTGTAGATTTTTGTCTGTAAGTAATTTGTAGGTAACACTATCTTACCTACAAATTTTGTGAATTACCTATGAATTTTGGTTGTAGGTAATGACATTTTATCTTGTAGTGGTTGTTTTGTCATCTTTCAAGTAAGAAAAACTAATTACATGTATTGATAGATGCTTTGAGAATTTTAGTTTGCAGGACTAGTTGGCATAAAATTGTTTAAACTGTTGATATTGGTGTTTGAGTTGTTGAAAATTTTAAATGATTGTGTGTTAATGGCATTCTTTGAATTGGTGTTGAATCAAGTAACCTAAGATCTAATCATTTGAGTAAGTTGGTATGATATGTATCCTGACATTAAAAGCTATTTTTTTTACCAAGGTACTAAGTAAGGAATATTAATTTGACCATTTGAACAGATCTTTTTTTTTTTCAAATTATAGTTTTAAGTATGTTGATTTTTGGTATGGCGTTGAGTGATGATAAGCTGATGTTGAGCACCAATTTTTTGTACAGGTCTAGGAGAATTTTAGCTCTAAACTATTGAGCATTACGCTTATACCATGAGTGTGCAAAAATATAAACACTTTGGCGCCAACTATTTTTCATGGTTTGGAACAATTTAATTCCAGGTGATTGAGTTTTAAAAAGGGCGTTGTTGAGCGCGACATTTTATGAGAAGAATAACGTTAGGACTATCTTTGAGTGTTATCTTTCGCCTAGACTATCGTTGAGTACTGTTTTTTTGTAAAGGTCTAGTGTTGAGTGCCACTTTTGAGCGTCAATGTATATGTTGTGATTTTATGATGTTTTGGTTTATTTGAGATGGATTCCTATGGATATGAGATATATTTAAAATGTATTATGGATTAATAACATGGTTGTGAGTATGTATGATGAATGTTATGGAATGAATTTCAATGATAAGTTTCTTGTAGTGATTTCAATAGTGTATGTCTTGAGGAATGGATTCGGTATTGGGAGTACCATATCAATCTATTAAACATTCATTCTTAAGTAGAGAAAGATGAAGTATGTGGTGAGAAGAACGGGAGGTCCTAGTACTTTACTACACTCAAGAATTAACCGATTAGCCTTGTGTGAGGTAGAGTGAAATCTATTCATAATGACTCTACAAGATATTAAAAGACACCATAAGTGCATAATTCCTCAGAGTATGATATCAATACATAGATTCAGATGATCATATATAATAGTATGAATAATTTTATGTATTAGGAATTATTCATACGAATGTTTGTATGTATTTGCTATTTTTTTCTTTTCTTACTTTGTTTGTTTCATGTGCGTATCTGTTTTTCTGAGTTTTATGAAATTGAAAATTCTTTTAGATGTCCACGAAGTTTTGTTCTTATGTTAGGGTTTGTTATTCCCCAAATCTTCATTACATAGAAAACGAAGACGAGAGCGAAGTTAGTGTTTTTAACGGTTAAACATACAATTCTCATCTGTCCATATGGAGCTTTGCAAGTTTGGGTACAAAAACAATGAATACCATAAAGTGCTAATATATCAGTAAACAGTGTTATGATAGGGTTTTATTGTTAACATTTTAGGTTTGGACTTGATATTAAATGAGATAAGATTTTAGAATTATGTTTCTAAGTTGTATTATTTATTTTATTGTATCAATTCATTTTCATTTTCAATATATATATATATATATATATATATAAGTTGTATTACATTCATTTTTCAATAACTAAAATTTTAATTTTTTTTTCAAAGAACAATAACAAATATACTATATTTCAAAATAATTTCATCAAAATAATCATATTTTCTTAACAATTTTATTTTTTCATTATCAAGATAGAAAACTACTTAATTTAGAGAAAAAAAAATAGTGTTCATTAAAATCTCAAAACATTATTTCATTTTACTACTAGCATTATAAAGTAAACATTAATATCTTATGTTGTGTTCATTTAGGATTATTTACTATTGAAGAAAATTTGGGCAAATGAATTTGGAGGTTGATTGATGTTCACTTTAAGGTCTTGTTCACTTGAATGGATTTGGAGGAGAGTGATTGAGGAGATTTGAAGGTAATTTTTTTTTTTGTTTATTTGAATGGATTTGAAGGTAAGTGAGAATGGATTTAGAAGTAAAGTTTGTGACAATTACGTGATAGATTAAAAAAATTTACTTCCAAATCTACTCTCATTTACCTCCAAATTCACTCAAATAAACAACAACAAAATTTACTTTCAAATTCTCTCACATCCCCTCAACCACTCTCCTCCAAATCCATTCAAGTGAACAAAGTCTAAAAAATTTGAAAGCAATGAAAAGATAAAGTTTGCGAGAAAGTAACTTTTTTGAATTAGGCTAATATGTAAAGATATGAAGAAAATTTTAATCAAATATCACTTTTACCCTTACACATATTCAATTGATAATATAAAATAATAATAATAGTGGAATTTTAAAAATTGATTTTTATTTTTTTTCTCTTTATAATAATTTTTACAATTATATATAAAATTAACCATTATCATTTTATATTACTTTTACTACTAAAGGTATTTTGGTAATTTTCAAATGATACCAATTAAATCATTTTTTTAGGTGTCACATAGGTCAAATCTTATACTAATTCTTACAAACTTTACTTTCAAATTCACTCTCACCTCCTTTTAAATCCACTCAAATAAACAACAATTAATTTACTCTCAAATCTTCTCAAATTCATCCCTCAAATTTTTCCTTCAAAATGAACAAATATGTATGTGAAGATAACATAAGAAAAACTTTTTTTCACATTTTTTTTCTAATTTTACCTTTTAAATATATAAATGGAATCCACATTATAACTTAAAATAAAAATATTTAATAATATTTATTTTATTTTTTAAATAAAATTTTAATATATTTTATTACATTATTAAACGAGGTTGTATGTATTTTTCTATTTACCGCTTATTTTCATACCATTAACTTATTCCTTTCATCTTGTGCTGTCAACGAATTTCTTTGGCTGATCCACCGAAACTAACACAAAATGAACGTTTTTTTAGTGACACTTGGCCTAGATGGTTGTCTAATAAGTGAAAAATAAAAATAAAATAAAATAAAATATACGCGGCGAAGGGTTATGGCAAGCATTGAAGAACGTGGGTCCCATGGGCGGTGGAAAATCCTTGTTCTTTTCGCAGATTCACGTTCCCCAATTCGACTTTGCGTTGCTACAACGCACCGCCCCAATCATAATAACCTATTCTCATCTATTTTATTCACTCAACAATCTTTTCTTTAGCTCTTTATAATAATTTCTCTTCACTTCTACCCTTCAATACTTCACTTTCTTCTTCATCATCCAACTTCACTCATCATCATCATGTCTTTCAGAGGCCTAAGCAGGGTAACATTTTACATCTCTCACTTTTTTTTCTGTCAAAGTTTTGGCATGTGAATTTTGTATGCGTATTTGATTTCAAAACCAAGTCTTGGTTGAAAGGCTATTGACCCAGATGCTTTTAAATTCCAGCCAAATGCTTCATCAGGCATGGGTGTTGCTGATCACAGCAAAACCACCTTCATGGAACTGAAGCAGAAGAAGGTCCATCGCTATGTGATCTTTAAGGTTGATGAGAAGAAAAGGGAGGTTGTGGTTGAGAAGACCGGTGGCCCCGCTGAGAGCTATGATGATTTCGCTGCATCTTTGCCTGAGAATGATTGCAGATATGCTGTCTTTGACTTCGATTTCGTCACTTCTGAGAATTGTCAAAAGAGCAAAATCTTCTTCATTGCATGGTTAGTTTAGTTTCTCTGTGTTCTGCTTTTATATGTTTAAGAAAAATATCTCTAACTTTGTCCACAAGTAAAAGCTTGGTTGCACTAACCATAAACATGTTTGTGAGACATGATATGTTAAGACATGGTATGTTTAGAAGTGTACGTTTGCTTGAGACTATAAATGGTCCAATAGGAGTGCAATAATATGTTTAAGAACCAATAATTTTTTTAGGATAGGTAATAAAGCATGACTCGCACATATTATCTTTGGAAGAGAACTTTAAGACATTAAGTCTAATTTAAGTTTAATTTAAGTTTAATTTAACTCCACTAAAACAAATTTAAAACTTGAAGTCTAATTTAACGGTGAAGTCTAATTTAACTCTAATTTGTAGGATGAGATTGACATTTATTTATATATTCTAAACTTTTTCATTAGTTATGTATTTTAAACTGACTTTATCATTAATTATATATTTTAAACTGACTTTATTACTAATTATATATTTTAAATTCACTTTATCACTAATTATATATTTTAAACCGACTTTATCACTGGTTTTTGTTGGCCTTTCAACAAGGTACTTGATGTCTTTTTCTTATGCAAACAAAGCAAATTCCGCAGCTTTGATCATATGTTTGGTAGTTTCGAAATAACCATGCCATGTCATGCTATTCTTCTAAGCCCGTGGCAATATTGCACTAATTAAGTGTCACTCCGTGCTATTCTTCTAAGCTCGTGGCAATATTACACTAATTAAGTGTCACTCCTTGCTTGTCCTCTCTTGTATTATGGAGCTAAATGTTCTTTGTTTTATTTTTCTTGAGGTTAAATTTCTTGTCTTATTCTTTGGTGGGACAAGAATTTGTTGCTCATTAGGCTGCTTATCTTAGCAAATGTGGTATTTTGAGATTTTTGGTCGCACATCACTCCTTTTCCAATCTGGATATCAAGCTCAGATACCAATTTCAGTGGCATCCTCTGTTAGTTGTATTTAAGTTGCTGACAGATCATTACTGTGTAGAGGTTCTTATGTTTATACGAAAAATGATAAATAAATAATTAATCATGGCAAACATTATCATGCTTGATGCTTTAGTTCAACCATATCAAGAGTAGGTTTCCTAAGTATCAGTTTTTTGGTGGGGGTGGGTTGGAATTTGTCTTGCCCATTATTAGAGATTTATAAATTTGTCTTTGCTATTATTGCTTTATTATTTTCAGAGTGCCCTCAAACAAGATTATGGACTTCAAGGAAATGTTAGTATTTTCCATCATCATGTATAGTTGACTAGTTTATTTTTTTCAGTTGCTGGAAGAACCTGTCTTTACATTTTTACCTAGCTTCTCAGAAATAAAAAAAAAAATCGTATAAATGTAAATATCAAATGGACTTTTCTAGTTGAACTGATTTAGCACTCTATTTATTGCATCTTTGGAGCTGATCGTCTGTGGAAAGACTTCTCTGTCTCTCTGATCAACCATTATTAGTTTCTTGTTTGAGTGGCATCTTGACTCACTTCCTAACAGTATATTTTCCATAACTTATTATTTGAACTATGCCCTCAATATCTTGCTGCGAGCTTGTCTCCTTTTCCTCTTGTGAAGAACAAACTTGAATTTAACTATTTTTATTCCTGTCTTCATCCATCCTCAACATCATGCTTCTTTATTTACTTTCTCTGTGATTTGGCCAGAAATATCATTCTTAGTTATTCCATTGCATGATATTGGTTAGGTCCCCTTCAACTTCTCGGATTCGTGCCAAGATGCTCTACGCCACAACTAAAGACAGGTTAAGACGTGAGCTAGATGGTGTTCATTATGAAATCCAGGCTACTGACCCCACTGAAATGGATCTTGAAGTGCTGAGAGACCGTGCACATTGAAATGTTTATGTACTTGTTCATTTTCTTTTCAGATTCTACTAGGTTTCTACTTTCAATGAATTGCAGAGCCCATCTTGCGACAATAATATGAATCTGAATGGGGATGGATTAAAAGCTCTTAGATGTCACTATTGTAAATCCCGATTTACTGGACCTGTATTGTAGAGCGTGACTTTATGGATCCAGATAGATGTGGTGGAGATAAAAGTCTTTGCTTGTAACTCTAGCTAAGAATATCTAGAAAATTTCAAAACTTGCATTTATTAATATTCTCTTCTTAAAATTAACCCTGTGTTTGTGTTTGGTTTTGAGGAAGGGGAGCTAAGAAATACTGTGATGTTTGCTGGGAGGGAAGAGAATGAGAAATAATTAAAAAAAATTAGGACTCATTGGACTATTTCTGATTATTGTTTTCCGATAATAGGTGAAGAGATTTGCGCGGGGAAATGTTGGACAAATTTCATTCAAACAACATTTTATATAAGACATCAAGATAGTATCTTCAGCTTAAAATCATAAGGTTATATATGACACTGATGAAATATAAGCGTTTTATAGTTTTATATAAGACATCAAAACATAACGTAGCTAAGCTACTGTTAGGTCTTGAAAGAATCACATGCAACGAGCCTAACATAAATGTATAACTTGTTCGTTAGCAAGATGGTGGATAGGTGTTCCAGCCAAAGCCAAGTTGAAGGAGATCAGTTCTTGAGCTTTACGATATTGTTGTGTTTCTTTCTAGTGAAATTCCAAAATATAAGTTCATCACATTCCTAATTTGTACTTGTTTCTAAAGACTTTTGAACTGAGTCTTCATCTGCGAGCTTCGATTCAAATATATGACTGCAAACTGTTTATGTTCCGGAAATAATATTGTCAGTGTACTATTATTTAGTACTACATATCACTGTTATATATTTTCCCTTGTTATTTGTTTTGTCAAGACACATTTCATTGAGCTAGATTGGTTGATGATGGAATCAAGATATTAGTCATTGGTCAGTGAGAGTAGGTATTTTGGTGTACTAAGTAACAAAAGGCATTGATTAGTGTTTGTTCTGATTTTTTTAAAATAACAATCGGTTTATCCTATCCCATGTTGTTAACAAAGCAAAAGGACCCAAAAGTCCAGCACAGTTCGTGAAATAGAAATATGATTACGAATAGTCTGATACCTGCTAAAATATCAAAAATTTCAGTTTTCAGGTCCCATGAAATCAGGCTTGGAGCAATGTTGACCAGGAGAAATAAAAATAAAAGTGAATGAAGCTGATGTTAAGTTGTGAAATACAAAGTTTGACACAGTGAAGTCGGTTTAATGGTTTGGAAGTTTTGAACAGAAATATAATATAAAGGTGAAATGTCAGATGTTTTGATGAAGTATGAATTAGTGAGATATAAAATAATTATGCAAAGGTTTACCTGTAGCTCATGTCCAAAGAAAAGTCTACTGATCATTTAAAGACTGGTTGAAAGCAGTTTCCATGGAAGAATAACTTGATCTGTGTGGACCATAAAGTGATGCGAGAGGTAGACAGTTGAAGACAGTAAGTTAGTGAAACTGAAAACGCCAATGCAACTCCCCACTACAACTTTAGCTTTCAACTTTCAATCAGCAATCGTATTTGAAGTGTACAAGTCAAAAATGTGCCGTGAACAGACTGGAACTGCAACTAGTCAAGTAGCATTATGGTCATATTTTTCGTCTACTCACATTGAAAACTAAACAATCTTTTTCTGTATTCACATAAGCACCTAGGAAACGGGGAACTGTTCAGAATTTCAGACGATAAGGTCCTTATATTATTTATATTCGTAGAGTCCCATCACGAACATTTATTCAACCTTAGTCTGTTTTTTTTAAAGATTTCAATTATAGACATGTCTCGTGTAATGCCATCGTTTTTCTTAGACTTAAGTGAAATTATAAAATAAAGATGACATGCAGAACATAGCCGGTCTGTGAAACTAGTTATTGAAAGTTCTATACACCAATATGATTATACATCAAATGGAACTCAAGTTTGCCAATATTCTTAAACGAGATTGCCCTGGTTCTTATTACATGATGTCCAAGCAAAATTTAACAGAAATATTGGTGATTGGCAAGGAAAGCTTGTGCTTGTGCTTTCCAAGTGTAATTGAAGCCCCTACTTTATTGTAACAACAACATTATAGACGAAGGTATCCTAAACATACGGAACAGTTTTGTTGTTGCTGTTGTGAGAATGTGATTGTTCTGATTCTTCACCGGTCCCAACATCCTCTTCATTCTCACCTGACATCTCCTCCAACGACCTTCCCTTTGCCTCAGGAACCAAGAAAGTGCAGAAGAAGCCAAGAACGTTAACTACACCTAAGACTATAAGTGAATTCTTTACACCAATACCTGCAGGGTACCCTGCATCAGCTTTGCTTTTGTCCTTGTTTTGTGCCAAGTACAAGAATCCAAAGGAACCAACTATAGCCCCAAGCTTTCCAGATGCTGATGAAATTCCATGACAAGTACTTCGGAATCTAGCAGGGAAAATCTCTGCTGGCACCACAAAAGTGGTAGCATTGGGCCCAAAGTTTGCAAAGAAAAAGGTCAATGAATACATCACCACAAATCCTATCCGGTTATCCTTATGAGTCCAGTGGTCATATGGGATGGCAAGAGCAAACATGAAGACAGTCATGAAGAAGAAGCCCATCAATTGGATAGCAAATCTTCCTATCCTGTCAATGAAAGCCACCGTGAACCAGTAGCCAGGAACTGTACTGCACAGAGCAATGAGTGTTTGAGCCCTTGCAATTTTGTAAACCTCCTCAATAGCATTCATGGTTTTGGCTGGAGGTATCCAACCAATTGCACTGAAGATGTCCTTCTGGAAAAGATTTTGACTGTAAAATGCAATATCAAGTAAGAACCAAGTGCTTGATGTACCAAGCAGATGCAGTCCATGACGAGTGAGGAACTCCTTTGAGAACAAGCCATATGGCTTGGGCTTTGCCGGATCTTCACTCTGTGGTTCAGCTTGAATCTCAACCTGCAGAACCTTAGACATATCTGCTGCTGCCTGCTTCATGTTCTTGGCTACTAGAGCAGTATAACGGGCAGTTTCCGGCATCTTCATCCGCCAGTAGTAAGTCAATGCCGCTGGGAGTGCTCCGACCATCACAATTATCCTCCAAATGTAGTCTGCTTGTACGACTGTTGACCCGGCTGGATCAACCTCATATGCTGGAGCAGTATACCTGCTATTGAATGCAGCTGAAACTATAATTGCAAATATACCACCTGCCAAAATGCCAAAACCCTGCATGGCAAACACTGCAGCAATGAAGGCCCCGCGAGTCTTCTTGTTAGAATACTCAGACATTATGGTAGCAGAAAGTGGATAGTCTCCACCAATGCCAAATCCAAGCCAGAACCGGAAGAAACAGAGAGTTGCCATTACAGATTTTGCACTATGACCGAATGAAAGGCCGGAACCGACGGAACATATCACCATCATCATCAGAGTCATGCCATACACTCTTTTCCTTCCCATCTTATCACCAAGCCAACCAAAGAAAAGCTGACCTGAAAGTGTTCCACAGAAAGCCACACCATTTACTGCAGCTGCAACATTGGGAGGCAATGTACCGGGCTTTGATGCACCGTCAACATGGTAATATATGCGGCCAAGCAACTTTGTTACAAGGGATATGCAGAATAGATCATATGCATCGGTGAAGAAACCCATTCCAGCGATGACGATTGCTGTGAAATGATACCATTGCGTTTTTGCAACATCAAGCGCATTTAGTACCTGAATTTGCTCCTTTGCCATGACTTTTCAAGCCAAAATTACAAGGCTATTTCTGTATCTCTTTATCAAAAGCTTTCCTTCTCTGCAGAAGTGGAAACAAGAGTCAGACTTGATCATCTGTGAGATCATATTGATTAAATAAAAGAACTAAGAATTCGGATTGATTTGAACAAGTTATCAAATGAAATCAACCAATAGACGTACAGTTACATCACCACCAATTAGTTTCACTATGAAAAAGTTCTCTACCTATCAACAGTAACTATTGATTACACCACTAGTTGAACCATCCAAATTCATAATTAAGGCTCAGAGATTGAAACCTGTAGAGAGCCTCGATATAGTGACAAAATATAAGGAAGATAAAGCGTTCTTAACACAAGCAAGTCAGCAAAGTTGTCAAGCTACCGGACTTTTTGTTACACCATAAATTAGAAAACTGGAAGGAAATGGAACTCCTAATCTCTCAACTAAATCCCGGAATATGAATATAAAACAAAAACAAAAGGTAAATAAGAACTTTCTAGCTTCCCTCGCTACTTTATAAAATAACTTGACATTAAATTTCTTCGCAAATTATTATGTTTTGAAATTGTTTCAAAAGAAAAAAGAAAACAGAAAAAAATCTTTTAAAGTAAACAGAAATGTACCAAGCGAGATACAAACAAACTTTAAGGAACAGAAAACTGATTATTCATTTACTTTTTTTTAGAAAGAGGTTCCAGATTTGAGATGCTCTAATATCTCTCGAAAGCACAATTTACGCCAAACTCACCGACCCATGTTCCCAAAAACTAAAATAATACTGGAAAAGAAATCTGGTTAATTCTTAAATCATCGTAACAATCAAATTTCAGACTCCCAGATAAGAAGCGGTGAAAAAATAAGAACAAAGCATATCAAGAGGATTAAACCAATTAACCCATGCAAATAATCGAATCTCATTTGAGAAATTTTCACATTGAATGAAGCCATACATACATGAATAAGTTGCGTCTTTTCTGAAGGGTACAGTACCGACAATGTTGGAAGTGATCAGGAACAGTTCAAACAAGCATTACAGATTAAGATGAAATCGTGAGCATGAACGTAAAGCGAAGGAAAACACATGAAACGGATCTTAACTGTCACAAGAAAAAGAACTAAGGACTCGGGGCAGTTGAATGATAGTCCCTTGATGCATGCATGGAGTGACACATTAGAAAGAATGCCAAAAAAGAATGCAATTTTAATAATAATAATAATAATAATATAAGAAAATGGATGCACCTGCACTGGAAGAAAGTCGTAGAGCGATAGAGAAAGAGAAAGATTTGAAGTGCAATGAAAAGAGAGATGTGGGAAAAAATGTGAAGAGAGCGGAATTAATTTATAGGAAGAGAAGGCAAGAAAACATGACATAAAAGAAACACAATACAGTTTCTGAGCCAAATATTCCACTCGCATATACCCCTCTTTTTCCGCCCAGTCAAATCAACCTCTTTTATGCC